TCCGATAAAATGTACGTTTATTCCAATAGGCAAGTGGTAGGGAATTGGTATGAATGAGTAAATGAATGGGTTGCGTATCAATCGAGCGTTCTTGTGCAGGTGTTAGTGTGTTGGATAATGTGTTGGAAGAGATTCGCATGGTGCTCGAGTTGAACCATACTTCGCTGAATCAAGATGCCGTGCTTGCGGTCACGTTCCTCGGTCAACTCTACAATTACAGCGTTTGCGATTCGCCAATTATTTTCAAGGTAGGACTTTGTTTTATTTGTATTCATTTTATTTGTGTGAATGAAATAACGAGTGGACATCGACATCCGTGCGTTGATGTTATTGTATATAATCTATTCTATTTTGTTGGGAATTTGAAATAGAGTTTGAAGCGTTAGATTCGTTTATTGAATTAGTCGAAAGGGATTTTGTTTTCAACACCTAAATCGTTTGCATGTTCCTTTACATCAGGAGAGGACAATGAAGTTTACTTATCGTTTCCATTAAGCAAGTCGATGAACAGAGGTAAGATATGTAAGATATAGTTGTAACAAGGTTTAATCACAGCTGAATGTAAGCTTCAACGTCAGCACGGATCAGCGACTAGTTCATAGAGCAATGAAACATAACGACACCGTTCATTTTAAACGAGGATCATTCTAGACCCTTTATCAACTGATAACATTCGGTGCGTTCGATGTGCTTTTGGACGATTGGAATAATTTGACTCGAGTCAGACTGGTCTGTGAACTGTTGCTAACGTGTGGTGAATATTTCAATGGTGGTTCGGCAAAGAAGAAACTGGATTGCTTTCTTGTATATTTTTATCGATACTTATGGGCTAAAAAAGATGCGTATGCAGCCCGGGAAGTGCCGTTCCCGAATGAGGTATGTCTTACAGGGTCATTAGTTTCTTGTTCTGTTTTTGTGAAATACTTAATTTAATGATTCTTAATAATTATTGGAGGAAACCAATCAGTCTGTTGCCTGATGTCAGAATGTTTGCAATAATTTGTTGCATAACTGTGTTATTCACTTGTGAACTTGTTTTTCGAGCAGATTCATTGAGATCTTGATCGATAGAAATGGTAGCTTATAGGTGATGTTTCGTGTTGAAGAAATGATTGAATATGTGCGTAAAGGAAGTAAACTTCCGGAGAATATGAAAGAAGCACAGCAACG